GTATTACCTTAACTCTGGCCAATTCTCTTGTATCAGAATCCATCCAATCTAATTCTGTTAATAACTCAAAAAACGCTTGTCGTAAATTTTCTATCATTTCTTGAGCCTTAAAACAACATTGACATGAATTTAGATATTAAGATGCTACTTTTATAATTGAAATTTCTTTGGGTTTGAGACCTTGCAATATTTTGAACATAGTCATGTAAGGTAAGAAGACAGGAGTAGAAGGTATAATCTAATTTTGGTAATATAAAGTTACAGTAAAGGTAATGAATGTGTGAGAATATTAGAAAAATATAATAAGATACAAACTGTCAGCTTAGAAGCTTCGTCAAAATTTTCATCTATGAACAGTCTGCCTACACCATGACCGGCATGATTCTGTACATATGATACACAAGTCCTAAACCTGTCGCGAGCGCTGGCTGTTCCAGACAAGACCTTGAAAAAAAGGCAATATTTAGGAAGTCAGTAATTAGGCAGATCTTACTAATAGATACAGCTGACGGAACCGTAGCAAATTTCTGATTGAAAACTTGATTGGCTAAAAAAAAAGGGGGGAAGTGGCATTGTGAAAATTCCAAAATGCGACGGACGTTTTCCAATTCATTTAACATAATATTTAGTTTAAACCAATCCCAAATCACTAAGACGATCATCACAGCTGGAGAATTATATTTTACGTCGTTCTATTCAGCCAGGCTATATTCTCCATCATGAAAAAGAAATCTAAGGAAAATCAAAAATAGAGGGGAGGGGGTAATGCAGTCGATCAAGGATTATATAACAAGTAATAGAATGTTGAAAACTCATGTACTAGATTAATCGGATGCTAGATCAAAATGTTATAATTATTACAAAGAAACAAAATATTGGAATTTTAAAAAGTTTTACCGTTTCATAATCTTGTGATATATCTCGAAATAAATCTGTAAGGATTTTAGCACGGTCTAAAACTAAGTGATAGAGAGCGTAATTTGCCAAAACACTGAAAATGAAAAACGAAATAAAAATCACATATATTATCTTATATATATTCTCATATACATGTAGTCTTTCCTAACGAAGACTTCATGTACCCCATTCGTTGAAGGGTAAAAAGAAAAATCATAATAGAGCCGGCATAAAAAGGTTTATGAGGTATTATAAGAAGAAAAGCAATTGTATCTTACCGATTTGAAGTATTTTCTAA